CACCAGCAAATCTTCATTAAAGAAAATTCTCATTGTTGTACTTCCCACATGTAAAGAATGTGACACCAGGTAGAAGTCTGAAATACGAGAAGGAAAGGAGAGCAAAGAACTTGATGAATACAATCGCATATCTAAGCAATTAGTAATTGGATGAAACAGTCAGCAAGGAATGCACTGGGCTGTGAACTGAGGAGCATCCCTGAGATATCACTGTCCCTGGCCCCAAGAAGCTTTACACCCGAAAGAGGAGGCTACCTTTTAAAGACCTGGAAAATAACAGAGTCACTGATTAAAGGACGAAGACCCCCTTCCAGCCCATCAATGGCCAGAAATGAGATAAAAACACAGGAGCAGACAAGACAGGGCCCCAGGTGGAAACAGACAGAGAGGAGCTGTGAACGGCCACAGCTGAAGCTGCAAATTCCGAGATGGGGCATAAAGCCCCAAAAGGAGAAGGAGAGGAGCTAGAGGGGCTGGGAGTCTCCCTGACAACACCAGGAGGCGGCTTGGGGCTCTAATCACCATTGCAGTTGTTCCCCAGGTTTTGACAAGACCTTAGGAAAGTAACCTGAGGAAATCAGGGCTTCAGTAATATCTTCTTTTAGCATCTAAGAAAACCGGGTTAAAGAGGCATCTCACTACCTTAAAAGCTCAAAGCCCAGCTCTGTTGTGTGTTATATAAACCCTTATACGTATAGTGGGGACTGTCCTGCTCTCTGCTTCTTAATACATAAGATTCATGTTTTGTTTTGTCTGTTTGTTTTGGTGGGGGGAGGTATTTAGGTTTATTCATTGATTTATTCTTAGAGGAGGTACTGGGGATTGAACCCAGACCTCATGCGTGCTAAGCATGCACTCTACCACTTGAGCTATACCCTCCCCTCTTAATATGTAAGATTTAATAGCAGTGGACAGTGAGTTTTTACAAGACAAGATACTGCAATGATGCCCCTGGAGCATTTGCTCATTTACCTGACTAAGTTATGGCAGAATTGAGATGCTTTCCAGTCCTGGAATCTCTCCCCAACACAGTGTTGGAACAAAATGTGCACAATATCACACATACACTTTCCACAGACTTCTCCTTAACAAAATGAACCCATAAGTTT